ATCCTGAAAGCAACCTAGATGCCCGTCAACTGAAAAGTGGATAGAGAAAATGTGGTACATTTACACAATGGAGTACTATTGAGTGAAAAAAAAGATGGAATCTTGAAATTTGCAGGCAAATGGATGGCACTAGAAGAGACCATCCTGAGTGAGGTAACCCAGTCACAAAAAGAGAAACATGGTATGTACTCACTCATTTATGGATTTTAGACATGAATCAGGGGAGTGCCAGCATACAATCCCACTGCCAGAGAGTCTAGGAAACAGATCCTTCATCCAGCAGCTGATGAAAGCAGAGGTAGATACCCACAGACAAACGCTGAACGAACTCCTGAAATCCAGTATCAGAAAGAGAGAACTGATGGGCAAAGGAGTTAAGACTGGGCTGGTTTAACCCACAGAAACAGTTGACCTGAACAAGGGTGAGCTCTTGGACCCCAGATAGATAGATGGCTGTGTGGAAAGCACTGGATTGACCCAAACCCCCTGAATGTGGGTGTCAGTGAGGAGGCCTAGGTAATCTATGGGGCCTTGGGTAATATTTATCCCTGGAGTACAAATAAAGTTTGAGTGCCCATGGGATGCTCTCTAAGCCAGGACTCTTGTGGGAAGGTCTAGGCCCTGCACTGAATGAAATGACAGTCAGTGGAGATCCATCATGGTGGGCCTCACCCTCCCTCAGGATCAAATTGGAAATTGGTTGGGGGACTGGGGAACCTGGTGAGGAGGTGGGGGAGAAGGGGAAGGAGATGGAGGTGGGATTGACATGTTAAACAAGATTGTTTCTAACCTAAACAAAAAAATACTAATTATTATTTTTAATAATGCCACATGGGAATGTATACTTTTAATAATCTCCATACACACAATGTATAGATATAGATGATAGATAGATAGATAGATAGATAGATAGATTACAGATAGACAGAGTGTTTGATTAGAGGTATCCTACAAAGGAGATAATGCAGATAACTTTAATATATGTTTGTGTAAATTCTTTGAGGGTCTCACCCAATGTTTGACCATACTCTCCCCTCAGTCTTCCCCTGACTATCTGTCCTACCTCAGCATGGAATGTTTTTATCTTGCTTTCCTTCCTGACACAGACCTACACAAATGATCCAGATTGTAGAGCCTTTTGGTTTTATTTTGCTTCACTTTCCCCATCTCTCCTCTTTTTGAATTCAATGAGGTTATGATCTAGTTCACTAAGCTTACTGTAATGTGCCTTCTTCCTGCCAGCCTGGTCCCTGTGCTGTGTCAACCCCAAATAACACACAGAGACTCTATTTGTTACAGTGCTGTCAGCCAGTTTCCAGGACTTCTCATTGACTAGTTCTGTCCTGAGTAGTAACCCATGACTACTAACATATATTTCTATAAGGACTTATCTTTCTGAGGACAGCATCCTGACACATCCTCTCTTCTGCGGGATCACATGGAGACCCTCTGCTCTTGACTACATTTCCCAGAATCCTCTTTGACTCTTAGTCCCACCTATCTTACTTCCCTATTGGCCAACAGTGCTTTATTTATATCAATCAGACAAACATATACACAGAAGGACTTCCCCCATTAGCTTATGATTCTGAATATCACCTAAAAGCAAATGGCTCCTGGATTCACTCAGTTGGATTTAAACGCTTTCAAATCCTAGGTTTTCATATCTGATTCTCCACTTAACATTTCTACTTGGGTTTCTAATAGGATGATACCCAAGACTAAAATTAGGACACTAAATTTTAGCATGTAGGACCTCTCCACCCTTAGAGCAGGTTTCACAACTCCAGTTGCTCAGGATACAACTCTGAATAACCCAGAATACTACACTTTGTCACATATCTAGTTCATGTTATATCCCCATAGATAATTTTATAGCAAAAAATCAATTTTTCAATTACAACAAAAGTGACATATAATGAATCTCTCTAATAAATATTAAAAATTGCAAAATGTACTTAAAGCTGTATATTGTACGTGTGAGGGCGTGGTAGGTGTGTGTGTGTGCATTCATGCTGGCCCACAATTCCAGGGTGTACATGGATATCAGAGGACAAATAAAGGGGTAGGTCCTGGCCATCTACTTTATTGCTGAACGTACCAGGCTATGCCCATGAGCTGTTAGGAACTCTCCATGCTCCACTCCCAGCCCCATGTAGGTAGAAGCCTTGGAAATACAGATGCACACTGCTGCATCCAGCATACTTCAGATATAGGGATTCAAACTCCGGTCCTTTCCTAGCTTAGCTTCTAATCCTGCTGTCTGTGTGGAACATGAATGATCACTTTCTATACCACTTCACTTCTTTGAAACAGGGTTTGAAGTTTAAGGGCATAATGCCATAAGTCTCTCGCCTTGACTTTGACCTAGTTTAAGGAAGCACTTAACTCTCATTAAGCTCTTTTCACAGGTAAAAAGGTGAACTGTATCATAGCTCTTGTGTTCCTTCTATAAATACAGTGCTGTGCACGTACATACGTATGTACATACATACACATGAATGAAGGTCTGATGATGACAGCACACACAAAGACAGAATATCCCTGCATTGCTTTAGTGTTGGTCACCTGGGAAAGTACTCATTACAGAGTGACAGCCATGGGCCATTTTCCCTGTTAAACTCAGATGAAAACTAAGCTACTTTGATCCAACCCTTTTGAAAAGATAAGACTAGTGTTATGGCTAAAACCTCGGCTGACAGATTTCAAATAAGACCTGGGTTTGAAGCTATGGGGTTTAAGAGAAAGAACAAAGAGCTTCAGAAACCCCAACAATGGGAGCAGCTGGGAGAGTGGCATAAACTGCGCAGACCACTTTCCTTATCACAGGAGGTGTCCTTTCCTTTTGCAGGACAGTCGTAATTGCCCATGCCAATTGCTTAGAATGCTTTTTCAGGCTAATTACCTGCTGGCTCTCATTAGAAACATGGACAGTACTTTTAAAACTACCTAATCCTCAAATCTTCCTTTGTGGATTCTGGGGCAAAATGATGGCCAATTGCTGACCCATAATCCAGTGTGGCATAGTTGCAGAGAGGCAGAAATGGAGGCAAAAAGGACAGGAAGCTTGGAAGATGTGTTAGCATGGGCTGGGGCCATAGGGATGGTGGAGTAGGTGTGGATATGAGCAAGGTGCACATATACATCTATGAAACTTATAAATTATAAATAAAAATACTATTTTAAGAAGATCAACTTTTCTGGCATTAGTAGGAAACGTTATTTCACAGCAAACCCCTGATCCTCTGGCTCTTCTGCATGCCACTTCTGCAAGGTCCCCTGAACGCAATACAAGTGAGAAAAGCTTGGAGTGGGAGAAATGGTCTTCTCCGGGGAAGAGCATACAAATTGGTTGTCCTGAGCCAAATGGTCAGCTCTGAAAATGTCCATACTAATAATAGTGCATGGACTAAGTAATTTATATTTAGGAAAATATATGTATACGTAATAATAACAATTAACAAAGAGGAGTCTATGAGTTTGAAGGACAGTTTGCCCTCCACCCACTCCTTTGATTCCTCCCTACCTCCCCTCTTCCCCAGATCCATGCCCCCCCATCTCCCTTCAGAAAAAAAGCAAACTTCCAAGAAACAACAAGGAAACACTACAAAAGGCCTCATATCAAGGCTGGACAAGGCAACCAAATAGAAGAAAAAGGGTCCCATGAGCAGGCAAAACAAAAACAAAAACAAAAACAAAGAGTCAGGGACACACCTGCTCCCCCCACAAAAACATCTAATTAGCCCAGCAGTGGTGGCACGCACTTCCATTCCCAGCACTTGGGAGACAGAGGCAGATAGATCTCTGGCTTAGAGGTCAGCCTGATCTACATAGAGAGTTTCAGGGAAGCCAGAGCTATATAAAGAAACCTTGTCTAAGAGCTGTAACATATATGCAGAGAACCTTGTGCAGATCCATGCAGGCCTGTTGCTTGCCAAATTTCAGTCTCTCTAAGACCATGGGAGCCCTGCTCAGTTGATTCAGTGGCCATGTTCTTCAGGCACCTGTCATCCCCTCTGATTTATTCTCCACCCTCTTCTGCAGGGTTTTCTGAGCTCTGAGGAGAGAGACCCAGTGAAGACCGCCCCAATTCAAGGAAGGGAAGCTGTATTTTGACTGACAGTCTCCAAGGCTGTCTGTCAGAGAAGACACAAGAGCAGATCTCCCTGGGGTGACACAAGAGGGAGGTCCTTTTCCACATCGTGGTGGTTAGGAAATGCATACTGTAGACCAGTATCAGAGGCAGCTGGAACAGTCAACCCCTTCCCCTGGAGATCAGCCTCTGTGGGTACCATGTCACAAAGTCTCTATAGTTCCCCACAAACAGCATCATGATCTGGGAACCAAGTATTGAAATGCCTGACTGAGACTGAGTGTGTGTGTGTGTGTGTGTGTGTGTGTGTGTGTGTGTGTGTGTGTGTGTGTAGATGAGTGTGATTTCAGTCTCACGTACCCTCAAAGAGGCCTTCTCATCAATCTACCCCATCCCAGAACTCTGTGGTAGCTTTCTTTGCATCATCACACTTGTAACCGACTCTTATGATATATCTATTTCCTTTATCATCGTAGAAGCCTTGTTTCAGAGGGTGAAGGGTAGATTTCACACATGTATTGTGTATTTGTCACTTTAATCGCTTGATTCAGGGGTCCAGAATAGTGTTTGCTACATAGATTAAGTTCGTTATGCACACAATTGAAGAAGAAAAGGAACATTGCTCATAATTATCCTGGGATGTCAACTGTGCACTCTTCCTGTTAGAGAAACTGCAGCCTAGGTCATCCTACACTAGTCTCTGCTGAGTTGTCTGTCATCCAGCAAAAGAAGTGAGAAAAATTGGCAGCACCTTAGATAGCTTCTAAGGGTCTGGTATAAGCTGAATGGTTCTTCTCACTGGAGGATGACCACTTAACAGAGAACATCTCTGCACTCCAGCCAGGGCTTCCAGTAACCATCCATCTTAGTTGGTAACTACTTATTCTCCTTGTCACCATACTTACAGGATAACTAGAAATGTCTGAAGACATTTCTGGAGGACTGCTACTGGCATCTGACAGGTAAGAAGTGAATACTGCTGCTAAATATCTAGATATAACAAAGACAGCACCCCACCCAGAGAGGGTTGCCCCTGCTGAGAGGCCATTGGAACTGAGATCAACAAAACCTGAAAGTAACCAAAGAAACAATATACGAAAATAATTATTCCCATCCAATTGTATTTTCAGTCCCAATGATCTTAAGCTAATATGATACTTTTTTAATATTGCTACATGATTATTTTTAAAGATTCTTTTTTCCCTAGAAGTGGATTTAAGAAGGAGAGAAAGAGTGGCTTTCAAAATAAGAAAGGTTGAGAATATGTCAATAAAGTTAGCTTTACCAAGGGACCTGAAGTACACTGTGAGCAATGTCATTATCACATTCCCTCACAGATATAGATGTTGGAAACGTAACAAACTATGTTGATACATGAGCTATAGAACCTTTGTTACACCAGGTTCACAAACTATGTTGATACATGAGCTATAGAACCTTAGTTACACCAGGTTCTGTTTTGGTTCTTGTTGCTGTTGCCTATAGTTGCATGTTTTTTACTCAAAGCAACATTCAGGTGTTGTTATCCCAGGAGCAAAAGAAGCAGCTTCGTGACAAAATGATAGAATATTCTGAAGACTCCTTACCTATAATGAACCAAATTAATGTAATGACCAAGAGTGGAAATGGAAGAGGGTTATCATGGAACCTGAAAGGACACCCAATTCTTATCTAGGACCTGATATGTGACACACCTGACATTATTTCACCTAATTTGCTGGGCTGTCCTCTGAGGTAGAATTGCCCCCATTTTACTGAAGAAATCACAGAGGCTGTAGCATGCTTACCCTGATGAAGGTGAAAATTAGTACAGTGTCCGAAGCTTCTTGCAGAGAGTAATATTGTCCACATTCATTTAGACACCCCTTTAATTCAACACATTTATTTTTAACATGCACACAAAACACGAGACACAATTGTAGGCCCAGGAAAACAGTTTTAAATGGAACTGAATATCTTCCTAAATGGAACTTAATTGCACTTAAAAACAAAACAGAAAAAGTTGCTTAGATTTTCATTCATTTCCTTCTCCCTGGGAACTGAGCCATTACCCAGCCATTCACCCAAAGTGCACCAGCTGGTCCATGGTGCAAAGGGGTAGTGGGAAATGATGATAGAATTCTTCACAAATAATTTTTGCTACGTTGTGTTGTTTTGAAAATGCTATAATGTTAAGGAGCAAGGTAAATTCTTTTACAATTCTTTTCTATAAAAATCAGATTATGTTAACAATATGCCTACTTCTATACACAAAGCTTAGAGGATGTTCTTAGCAGAAAGAATAAGAAGGAGCCCATTGGCTCAGTAAGTCTGAATAATTATGGGAAACCATCAGAGGAGAGCACGAGAAAACACAGGAAAGTTTTGATCTTTAGCAAAAATGAAATCATGAATCCTTTTGCACGACCAGTTCATCAAAAAGCAATGAGCGGTCTGCAAGACAGTGAGCATGCTTACAAGCTTTCAGTTTTCTGCTTTGTTTGAGGCAAGCTGTAGAAAACGAAGTGGGTGCTCTACATTTGATTATTTGAATTCGACTGCTACTTAGGATGGAATCTGAATTCACTTGTCCAACTACTCCCAAAGGAGAGAAAAAAGTAAGGACAGTGGAAATTTATAAGACTGTTTTTGAAGAAGTGTGAAAGAAGAACTCTCAGAAAATGTAAATTCCCAACACAGAGTTATAGCAAGGAGTAAGTCATGCTTGAATGTGCTGGAAAAAACTCCCCATGGGGAGGGGAAGGAGTAAACTATGGAAAGTACTGGAAGTGGGGGCCTGCTTGGAGTGTTCAAAGAAAACCAGACTGATTTTGGTACATTTCCTAAGACCAGAAGTACCTTACAGCAGGTGTGAAATGAAAACTAAGGAAGATCACATGGAGCCAGAGCCACAGTAAGGACTGATAAAGACAGGAATAACCTGATACATGTTAGTAAGTGACAACTCTGATAGCATGGAATTAGGGGAACTGGAGAGCTTACTGTGCCAGTGTTCAGATGGGAAGGGATTCCTGAGTTCTAAACTTCCTTCACAGAAGCAGAGCTTAGGACAGGAATAGACGCCAAGCAGGATGCAAAAGCAAGGGAGGAATAAAGAAAGACTCTGAGATGTTTGGGTTGAACAATTGGCAGAAGGAACTGCGTTTACTGAGAAGAGAAAGACTTCTGGAGCAACAGATTTTGTGAGGAAATTCAAAAGTTCAGTTTTTGATGTGTTAGTTTTGAGATGTCTAATTAGCATGTAAGTGCAGATGTCCAGTTGAAAATGGAACAGAAAAATCTGGACTTTAGGACTAAGATATGACTACAAGTACAAAACTGAAACATCCTAAAGCAAAGACTCTCAACATGTGAATCATGACACCTTTGAAGTCACAGATCAGATATTTACACTATGATTCATAACAGTAGCAAAATTACATTCCTGAAGTAGCAATGAAATAATTCTATGGTTGGGGGTCATCACAACATGAGGAACTGCATTAAAGGGCTGCAGCAATAGGAAGGTCAAGAACTACTGTCCTAAGGAATAGGTGTCTTTTAACGCCTTAAAATTGGATAAAAAATAACATAGAAGGTTGAGGTTAGGCTTGAGCTCCATGTCTCCCTAACCCTTTACATTTAGAAAGCTAAGGTTAATACAGCAGAGGAATAAAAAGTAGGGTAGTGTGAAAAGAGATAAGAAGTCAAAGAAAGTACCTCCACAAAGAAGAAATGATGAATAGTACCAATGATGTCCCATATACAGACTACTAAGGCTGCAACAGATAACATTGTATTGCATATACAGAGTTGTTTCACTTCAATTCATTGAGTGGTCTATAGAGCAGATAGAAGTGCAAAACTATCATCAACTATATCAAGATTGTCTATCAGAAATCAGAGATGAGACTAGAGTTGAAAGAGGAAGAGTTATGGGAATTTATTCTATATCGATTTTTAATGTGAAATACTACAGATAAGGATTGTTTTTCTCTAACATACATCCAGAATTTCCCCAATTGATATAACCAAACTTTCTCACATAAATTGGTTTGGGAACATGGGTGAACACATGGGGGGTTAGCTGGTCATAATGCTTCTGTTGGCTGTCTTTCTACACTGAGGATGAATTCATTTTATCCACTCATGCAAACATTCATCCAGGTCTTATTGGAAGCTTCTGATCAAACAGGATAGTATTCACACTGAAAATAGAGCTAAAAGAATACAAATATGATTACTGTCCTTACTGAGTCTACAATCTGCCAATGGGATAAAGACAGGAAATAAGACAAGGTTCCAATAGTCATGAAAGAGAAGCATGGGGACTTAGACGTCACTGGTCCTTATCAGGAAGCAAGAATTCACCCTACATTCAATTGAGGCCTCTTTGGAAGGTCAGAGAGGTGAATCTGAAGTAACAGCAATGAGATAAGTGTATAGTCCTTCCCTACATCCAAGGAAAAGACCAATTGAAGGGACCAAACTCATAACGGTTTAAGCATCATGGAGACAAAAGACATTCAATTCAAAACAAATAAATTGAAGAAGGTCTAGAAATAGAGATGGAGCCAGGAGGTAAGGAATGGAGCCTTAAAGAGCAATGCTATGTATTTAGCAGAGGCAGATAGTTTTCTGCTTTTATATGGACCTCTGTAAATCTCTATTTTTATATAGGCCTCTGGTAAACTTGTCTAGCTCAATGCTTCTATCCCTATTGACAATTCTCTCTGAAATACTCATTACCCAATTTTCACATAACTGATTCATTACAGTCCTTCAAGTTTTCCTTTCCATGCCATGAAAATCTGTTCTATGTCAAGTACTCACTACACCTTGCACAGCTTTCCTTTTCTAAAATTGCATTGTCCTTATTACAGTGTGTTATCAGCTACTCTTACTATGAGGGATAATAACTTACTAAATTCACCTTCTTGTTGCTTCATAGAGCACATCATAATGCTCAACAGATGTTTCTTGAGTTTATTAAACAATATTAAGTAAAGGCTTAAAATATAGGTTGAGACAAACTTATTCTCTTTATGTCTTTTGTTTGTTTTGGAGGGGTTGTGATTTTGTTTGTCATTATTGTCACTTGAGTGCTGGCATAACTAGTGTATATCACCATGTCTGGATTATGAAGTCCTGGGAATTGAATCCAGGGGTTCATGCAGCAAAACAAAAATACGCTACCACCTGAGTACATTACCAATGATAGATGAATTTTAACTTGATGAATAGGTAAATAAGGTTATATTCTTATCTTTCATGAAATTTTTACCAAATGTGATAGATCATAAATGACAGATAGATAATGAATAGCTAGAGAGATGATAGATGGATGTTTGTCTTTATCATTTAGCAAATACTTGTAAAATTTATCAAGATACATCTCAAAAGATTAGGAAGATTTCTAGTATCTATTTATGCTGTGAAATATCTAGGTCAAGCAAGTTTACTAAGGTCTAAGATCATCTCTGAGATCCAGTGGTAACACCGACATCTAGTGGTTATTATTCTAAGTTAGCTGTCTCAATCTTTCAGAGGATAAAGTTATTTTTAAATTATTAAAGTGCTATATAGCTATGAGTTCACACATTGCAGATATTGTTAGTTAAATTAGAAATTATCCAATTGAAACAGGGTATTAGTGAAATAAATAAACTGTAAAGAAATGCAAAGCATGAATCAAGGATGTGAAGCAGCCCCGGTTGGCAGAGCATGGAATTCTCTTGAGCCCATTGTGTTTTCTTTGAATGATAGGCCCATGAGGACTTCAAAAGTGAGCTTCTAAGGTCAAAGACGCATGCTCCATTTCCATTCCCCCTACCCATTCTCTCAGTTCCATATATTTAATTCAACCACAATTTGCAGGAGCTCGCAGAACATTACTCAATTAGTTTATTTTCTATAGCTCCCTCTAAAGCATAAGTTCCACAGTGGCAAAAATGTTTACGCAATGTTTGTGTTTCTCTTTACAGTATTTCTATAATTAAAAAAGAATGCCTGGCCTATATTGGAAACATCATGAAATATTTGTGATTGAATAAAATGAATCTGAAAATGATGAATTAGACGGAATTAAACAAAAATACCTACCCTATCTGTGGATAGAAGGACAAACATTTAGAATGTGGTTAGGAATTATGCTGGTTTAGTGAAGTGGTGGTTGTAGCCTCTGCTCCAAGATCCTTGACTTCACTAGTCTTAGGTAGTTGGCTAGGTTTCTAGTGTAAGACATAGTTTCCCTCTTTTCGAGTGGGTGTTAAGTCAAATTAGAGAACTGTTAGCTGCTGTCAATGTATCAGCACCATTACTGCACCCTTAGGGTTATCATTCCATGTTGACATTGTTTCAGTTCACAGCCATCATAGCTGGGTAGGGCTGTTGATTGCTTCCTGCCTATGGAACTTTCATGGTGCCTTCTAGTAGCATGAAAATTAGATTCCGGGAGTTGGCATTCTTGTCAGTTCCAGCTCAGGAGCCTCTGCGTCTGAACTGCATGATGTCTTCAGCAATAAAGACTTCCCTTACACGTCTGAGGGATAATCAAGGACAACAGTAATCATCTCAAAATCTTAGAAATGTCTGTGACAGCTGTACTAACCAAAAACTCAAAAGAGGGCTTCCCATGCCTGGTATCAAGGGTTTTGTTAGACGATCTTTGACACTTAGAACACTGCCAAGCCAAATGAGAAAATCTCAATTAAACTACATTTGTAAATTTACACATAGAGTTACCCGTTATTAAAGAAACATCATCTTGCAACAAACTGAGACTACTAGAGAAAACCATAACCCAACAAAATGCATGGTTGGCTGCCAATTCCCAATGGATACATCTATAGCTACATCTGAAGCTCAGGAAGCACTGCAGAAGAGGAGGTGTCAAGGTGGTGAGAGATGGGAGACCAGGGAGTCTGCTGGGAGATTGCTTCTCACAGGACTGTCAGAAGTAGCACCCATTAAGTCTCACCCACATAAACTACACAGGGACAACAATACACATGACAAGGTGAATGGGGTAAAAACTACAAGGCCTCAACTCTACAAAAAGAAATACAAGAAACTAAGGGATGTTAAGAGAATTAATCTTCCCCAGGGAAGATCATACAAATTAGCTATTTAAAATCAAATGGTCATCTTCAAAAATATGCATGAGTAACATTATAAAGACTGAGCAGGTTATGTTTAGGAATATATATACATACATATATAAATACATATATGCATGTGATGATAATTAATGAAAAAGGAAGCCATGAGTTTGAAAGAGCATGGTTAGGTCTTTGGGTGTTTGGAAGGTGGAAAATGAAGGGGGGCGATGACATAATATCAAAAGTAAAAGAAATAATAAAAAAGGAAAAGTCCCTACCCTTAGCATCCGTGGAACTATTAGTATGCCAAGGTGTGTTGTAAATTCTAAAGGAAACCATCATAGCCTTTCTACAATATTATTCCTCCTGCCTAGTCTCTTTAGATTATAAAGGCGGTGTTCTGTAGAATACATACACTCTGGCAAAAGTATGATCTGACCTATGATTTATAAGACTAAATTCACCTATTGTGATACTCAAATTTTAAATTAACATAATATATAATGCTTACAATACAATATAGTGAAAACACAGGTGAGAAACCATACCTTTGATAGTGTGTGAAGTGATACAGAGAAGAAAAGAGACATACTTCAATGAATAGCCTATGATAGACTATATTCAAATAATATGCATCTCATATCTTTTCTTTTTGACCTCAAGGATTATCAAAATGGAAGTTTGAATTGCATTGAAATAAAAGATAGACTTGTCATGCAGAGAAATAACATTGAATAGAATCAGAAGGCAAAATAATTGCTCTTTCATCAGCGAAACCAGGGTCATGATACAAAAGAAAGACAAATCATTTCATTTCATTTAAAGCAGCAAAATTTCCGTATAAGATTTTAGGGATGATGATTGCAAAGGTATTTAATGGAAGACCGTGACCTCTAGCATTTCAGTCCCATTTTACCTTAGACGAGCCCTTTCTGTTTTAATCCATTCTTATTTTAGTAGCTGCATAGGGAATAGAGAGAATCCTTTCTGAAATTTGATTGCACGGTATTGCCATCACAGCATGCTTGTCATCTTTCATGGGGAGAACAGGTCATTCACACTTTGTTAAATCCTTAGAAACACAGAGAAATTCAGCATAGTACTAAGGTGGTACTATCCATTACAAGATAGAACTAGACTCTGCACAGCAAAATTAAATTGCCTGTCATCTTTTCACATGCTGAGCTAGTCTCAGACTTTCCCTTACTGTTGGAAGGATTGTATGTTTAGTACTATTCTTTAAAATGAAAATTATTTTAAAGTAATTACAAAAACACTGCAGAAATTTATGAGATGTGTCTGCTTCATTTTCAAGGATCATAATCATAATCAGTCCCATCTTAATCCACAAATCTTTCCTGAAAACAGATAAACCAAAATCAGTTCAACTTCTTCTTGGTGCTTGCTCTATAGATAAGTGTGTGGCAGTGTGTTTTCATGGAGCAGACAAGCTTGCTACGTTAGATTTCAGAACACCTAAATTGAAGCTCCAGCTTATCTACTAACTGGTTACATTGCCTGCCCAATTAATGTAGCCTTTTTGACCTGTATCCTCTTCTATTAAATGTGGATTGTAACTCTGGTCCTATATGCCTCACAGGATTGTGAAATAGTAGCTATAAAAACTTCCTTTGAAACTGTCTAAAGTTCTTTGGTGATGAGAGGATATACAGAGCCTGTTGTAAAAGAAAACATTGAATTTCCTTCAAGGGATTAGATAAAACCTAAATAATGATGCTACCATTGGCAACTTCAATCATCTGTAGGCATTTATAAGAGAAGTCAAAATAGGAAATGCATATACTACCTGAATAATGCCTTAAAACAATAAATAACCAATATTAGCTAATTATCTCCATGTCTCCAAATTATTGACAATTATTACTAGTAATAGCAACATATTGGTCTAGAGATGATCAAATGTGAAAGACCAATGTTCAGCAACTCAATAGTTAAGTTAGAATAAAAGTTTTTGGACTCAAAATGACTGCAAATTTGGGTGCAATCACTAAAATTATGTGCCATTTTCATTGGACTAATAGGTGCCCTGACTGCTACTAAACGTAGTTTGGGGTATGTTCAAATGTATCCAGGAGACATTGATATCTGAATTAGTTAATGGGGAGACAACTGCTGTCACCTGTAGAGGTAGACATCACCCAATTCACCAAGGGCCAAAACAGCCCCAAAAGGTGGTCTTTGCTCTTGAACTGAGGCACCAATCTTGTTCTGCCTTAAGGTTTCAACTGAGTACTCCTGGTTCTTGGGACTTCAGACCTAGTCTGGGACTTACACCATTGCAGTCATGGTGTACAGGCCTTCAGTTTTGAGTTGCAGCTAAATTATTGGTTTCCATCCTGTAAAAGACTTCCCTGAATAGTCATATGGATCCATCCTTCTACGAAATCATTTCTATTAATCTACACATTTGAGAGGAATGGTGTGTGTGTGTGTGTGTGTGTGTGTGCGCACACGCACACATGAGCACGTGTGTGCGTGTGTGTTGAGTGTCTTCCTCTCTTGTTGCCCATCTTATTGAGAGATGATCACTCTCTGAAATGAATCAGCATGACTCTCTGACAAGCAAACCCCAGGGAGCCCCATCTCCCCAGCACTAGTATTATGGATACGCACCACTACATCCAGTTTTACGTCTATACATTTTAATCTACACCTAGATCTATAAGGCAGATCCCAGTGCTTGTAATTCTGTGAAGAAACATGGCTAACACAACCCCGAATACTATTTTTTCCTGACTGGATCTTGTTTTAGTCATCTTGCTCTTTTGACAGGAATAGATCCTTATCACTAATACCATCTATCCTCCTTAAATACTAATCTTACATAAGAGATATTATTCATTTCTCACAGTTAGGTACCGACCTGAGGATGTTGTCTTTTCTTACTCTGTGTTTTGTTAGATTGCCACTGTCGTCCTTAGCCTTCCGCAGTTAAGCTGCTTCATAGAGCTGCACACGTTACCTCCTGAGCCACTCACCCTTTGCCACATTCACAGCCAGCTCTCTGTCATGGAGGGCGCTTTCTATAAGCTGTCTTGAATTTAATGGTCATCTGTTCTTCGGCAGCTGGCACATATGCAGTGAATCTAGCATGTTGGTTCTTTACATAAGGATACAGTAGAAAGAGGAGAATCATTTCACATTTTCTCCATTTTTTTTCAAGATATACAGAATTCTACTCGAGAGTGAATATACTTGAGAATGAGGATATAAATAAATCTGCAATGGAGACATAGATGCAAATATAGTCACAAGGTTATTCCTGTTGAGCATGTTATGGTCACATTTGATAGGAGAGTGAGTGGCAGCTATTGGCAGCGCTAATGTCACCACCACTAGTCCCAATCTGTCACACAACTGAAAAGCAATAGTAATATTGTACATGAGTACTTGGTCATATTTTTTTAGGTTTTTCTTTTCAATTGTGTGTGTACATTTGTGTACGTGTGTGTGTGTGTGTGTGTACATGTTTGTGTGTGACTATGAAGGTCAGAAGAAAGTGTCAGATCCATAGGATCTAGAGTTAGAGACAGTTTTGAACTGGAAAACATGGGTGTTGGAACTGAACTCCAATACTCTGAAAAAGTACGGATTCTTAATTACTAAGACATCTCTTTACCCCTAAGATGTTTTCTTATCCTTCATGAAGAATGCAAAAAGATACTCATTAAAAGATCTTACTAGATTTAATGATAATAGTATAAGGTAACAAAATTATTTTTTAAAGTGTGCTTACTGTGCAAAACGAGCTCCAAAACTTGGTTCTCTGGATTTCTGATCCTCTATGACACTCCCACAGTTCGTTCTACTGTAAGTGTTAATTCTGAAGATCCCTGTTGATACAGAATTAGCTATGTCAATGACCTTCAGCTTTGACCAAAGCTAAGATAGTCTTTTGCTTTGAGCAGTAGTAGGAAGGTGTCTGGAGCATGATACATGGAGGGTGAATGTAACTCCACCTGCCCTTGAAGACAAGGAACAATTAGAAAAGCCACCAGGATGCCCCTCAGGGCCAGGGCCATGCCAACTCCATGAACCCCATCAGAAGATGAACAGATCGATCTTTGGGCCTCTAGGTACCTCTCATATAAAAGAGTGGAGGGCTTTTTTCCCCTAAAATATAACCATTGATGTATTAAAAGCTCAGTGAGTTTAGTCACTTTTTATCTTTCCCTTTAAATCTGAATGATTGTACTGGGCTTTTAAGGTCTGTGCCAACTAACTAGGGCATTTTAGTAATCTATTTTTAATATGTACCAACTTCTGTTCTTTTTAGTTCTGCCTTAAGACATACTTTTATCTTCACTGGTATGCAGAGATCATCAAAAAATATAAGTTCTCTATTACATGACAACACATAATGAGTCTTAATGAAGCCGGGGAACAGCTGTTTAAAACTCCCGTTGAATAGCTTCCTAAGCAACATTCACTTATGATAGCCTTTCTGCAGCAACATTGCCTGAGTCTCAGAACTCACCATACATATAATGAGAAGGGTGAGCATGAGATTTTCCTCTGGTTTCATTAGATATTTTCTTCTAATCAGAATGCTAATATACCATTATGAATTAGTACATTCTGAGCCATCAGCTCAGTGTCTTTCACCTTTTAATTATATTTCTTCATAGAGCAGAAAAGAGAGTAAATGTTACTATGCAAATTTTTAGAAGAGTTCATGTCCTGGATGAAAATGAGAAGGGGAGAGAGAACATAGAATAAACTTATTTTTTTAATTATATTGGAAACATGTTGTAACTGCAAAATGTGGGAAATTAAACTAAGCCTAGAAGATTTCAAGGGAGATGTGCAATCTGAAATTTAAAGAATTTTAGCTTCACTATGTAGGTTAATATGTGTGAAGAACAACTAAAACACACTCCGATATGAACTTAATCTCATCCTTTATTCATTTGCACTTTCAAATAGACTTCTATAACTTGCTTAATTTTTCACTCTACATGTCAAGAGCCTAAAATGAAAAATTAATAGTTGTAATAGTTTCACAATCTCATTAATCCACATGGTTCTCATTACTTCAGGAATCCAAGGTTTTTATAGATGTAATTTTTTTTACTTCCCACTCTGATTCATTTTCTACCAGTTACTTCTCTAGGTGAAGCCCTACTTCCTGTCTCTGGTAGGTAGAATGTAAATGGTCCACTAAGAAATGTGCTTCTACTTAGCATAGAGCGTTTCACAGAGTAGACACTGGTGATTTTCTAAATAACTGAAAAAGTATCTTTATCCACAATCTTTAGGAAACTTAACTCCTTCACATAATTTTGAAGGTATCCTTATGGTTGCTTCCATCATTATGTGGTGTTTAGTTAGCCAAGCAGAGAGGACTCCAGTGGATTCTCCTTGGAGGGCAATCAAAGTACACTGTGTGCTGGTTAGATATTTTTGAGACTGTCTCATGATAAATTACTGTTTTTCCCAGTGATGACATGTTGTATTTCTACCATTTTTACTATTTCATTTCACTACATTTCTAAGAGTTTTCTGGCAGCATATTCCAAGATAAAGGGCTATTCATGTTCATTAAAAGTAGGCATTTTGTACTTGAGCATAACAAATAGCATGAATGTTTTCATCTTCTCTTTTGAACAACAATATAAATATAGATAGAATAAGGAATGGATGTCCAGTATCTACCTTTGTGGGACTAGAGGACATCTGTGAGTCAAGTCTTCTGTAAATGTAAATCAAGTAGTATCTGAATAAAATTGGAAAAAGAGAATAGAGAAAGTGAAAACTCAGAGCAGGAGGAGTAAACAGAACCATGCCACAGTTATAGGCTTCAGGAAAAGGATTAGAGCCCAATTCTCCAAAACAGGAACAGAACTTCTGAGTAAAATGAACAATCTCCCTTTGCAGAAATGGCACATGTCTTGTAGCAAGACATTTTCCTGAGCAAATTTAACATAAAAAGCAATCTCTCTCTATCTCTCTCTCTTTCTCTCTCTCTCTCTCTCCATGTCCCCCTCCTCTAAACACACACACACACACACACACACACACACTCAAATACGCATGCTTACATACACACATTGCTCACATAGACACACACCACATGCATACATACATATTTGAAGCAAGCAGACTATTCCTGAAGTGAACTACAGGAGAGAAATTGGTGGGTGGTTCTCAGCAATACTAAGCTCTATAAATAAAGTCAAACAAATACACTAACACATCATTTTAGTTCATAGGGAGAACTGTTAGAAAAATTTCCTGTAAAGAACTGCGGAGTTGCACAGTCTTAGTCCCCCCTCCGCAGCCAGCCCTCTGCTTGAGGTGAGTGTGGGCTCTACCTCAGGCCCCAAGCCATCCCCCTGCTTACAACTTCCTGGGCCTGCTCAGAGCCTAGAATGGACTTGACCCACAAGAAAGGACTGCCTTGAGTCTGGCCACACCTCAGTCTTGGCCCCCATCCACTCCTGGCTCTCTGCTTGTGGTGAGAATGGGATCTTCTTGGGGCCCCAACTCCCTACATCCCATGCTTGGATCTTCCCGGGCCTTCCCCTCGCCTAGAGTGTCTCAGTCCCTCCTGCACCAATCATGAGATCCATCAGAGTACTGAATCTGCTTTAACCCACTGGAAGAGAACCTTAGACCCATATCTACCAGGAGAGGAAGAGACCTGATGAACTCCCCCTGTAAGAAGGGACAGGAAGATGACAATATAAAAACACAGTCAATAAGAGAAAAACCAATATGACCACACCAGAGTCTGGGAACTTTACACCAGCAAGACCTGAACATCCCAATACAGATGAAATGGAAGACAATGACCTTCAAAGCAACCTCATGAAAATGATACAGGCCCTCAAAGAAGATATGAGAAAATCCCTTAAAGTAATAAAAGAAAAACAAACCAAAATAATCAACAAATCTCTTAAAGAAATCTAAGAACAAACTGTCAAACAGATAAAGGAAACAGCTCAAACTTCAAGACCTGAAAACTGAAGTAGAGACAATAAAGAAAATACAAACTTAGGGAATGCTGGAAATAGAAAAGCTGAGTAAATGCAGGCACTGAAGAGGAAGTAGATTCATTGACCAAAGAAAATCTTAATTCCAAAAAATCCTAAACCAAAAATATTCAGGAGATATGAGACACTGTGAAAAGATCAAACCTAAGAATGATAGGTATAGAAGAAGACAAAGAAGACCACCTCAAAAGCACAAAAAACATATTCAACAAAATCATAGAAGAAAACTTTCCCAACCTGAAGAAGGACATGCCTATGAAAGTACAAGGAGCTTACCAAATACCTAATAGTCTGGAACAAAAAAAAGTCCCCTTACCACATAATAATAAAAAAACAAAACAGACAGTATGAAGAAATAATATTTAGAGCACCAAAGGAAAAAGTTCAAGTAACATATGAAGGATACATGGTTAATCCAAATAAATCAGTAGCCCTACCATATATAGATAATAAATGTACTGAGAAAGAACCCAGAGAAACATCAGCCTTTACAATAACCACAAACAACATAAAATATCTCAGGGCAACTCTAACCAAACAGTTGAAAGACCTGTATTACAAGAATTTTAAGTCACTAAAAGAGAAACTAAAGAAGAATGGAAAGACCTCACAAGTTCTTGCATAGGGAGGATCAACATAGTAAAAATTGCAAATTTACCAAAAGCAATCTACAGATTCCATGCAATCCCTATCTAAATCCCAACATAATTCTTTATAGACCTTGAAAGAACAATACTCAACACTATATAGAAAAACAAAAGACCCCACATCTGACAGATGACTGATCTACAAATTTTACAAAGAGCTGAAGAAGCTAGTCTCAAAAACATCAAATAACTCGATCAAAAAATGGAGTACAGAACTACATAGAGAATTCTCAATACAGGAGTCTAAAATGGTTGCTAGACACTTAAGAAAGTGTTCCACATTCTTAGCCATCAGGAAAATGCAAATCAAAGCAACTCTGAGATATCATCTTACTCCTGTCAGAATAGCTAAAATCAAAAACACCAATGACAGTTTATGCTGGAGAGGATGTGGAGAAAGGGGATCACTCCCCCATTGCTGTTGTACAGCCACTCAGGAAATCAGTATGGAGATTCCTTAGAAAAATAGGAATCAATCTACCACAAGATCCAGCAACTCCACTCTTAGGCATATACCCAAAAGATGTACATTCATACAATAAGGACATCTGCTCAACTATGTTCATAGCAGCATTATTTGTAATAGCCAGAACTTGGAAGCAAACTAGATGCTCCTCAACTGAAGAGAGAATAGAGAAAATGTGGTACACTTACACAATGGAGTACTACTATGCAGGAAAAAAAATGGAATCTTGAAATTTGCAGGCAAATTAGATGGCACTAAAAAAAACCATCCTGAGTGAGGTAACCTAGTCACAAAAAGACAAACATGGTATGTACTCACTTATATATGGATTTCAGACATTGAGCAGTGCATTACCAGCCTACAATCCCACTGCCAGAGAGTCTGGGAAACAGGAGGAGGACACTAAGAGAGATATGTATGGTACCCCAGAGAAGGGGAATGGAACAAGATCTCCTGAGTGGATTGGGAGCATGAGGGGAGGGGAGAGGGAACTGGACAAAAGAGAGAAGGAGAAAAGGAGGGGGTAGGAGGACATGGGGGGCAGGAAGGTTGAGTTGGGGGAAGGATAGAGGAAAACAGAATGAGAGATATCATAATAGAGGGAGCCATTATAGGTTTGAGGAGAGATCTGGCACTAGGGAGATTTCCAGAGATCTACAAGGATGATACCAACTGACAATCTAAGCAATAGAAAAGAGGCTACCTTAAATACCCTTCCCTGATAATAAAATTGATGATTACCATATATGCCACCCTAGAACCTTCATCTAGTGGCTTATGGAAGCAGAGACAGATACTGGCTAAATACTGACCTTAACTCCTGGATGCCAGTTGCAGATAGGGAGGTGTGATGAGATAAGGGGTCAAGACTGTGTTGGTGAAACCCACAGAAACAGCTGACCTGAACAAGGGGGAGCTCTTGGACCCCAGATTGACAGCTAAGAGGCCAGCATGGAACTAACCCAGACCCCCTGAATGTGGGTGTCAGTGAGGAGGCCTAGGCAATCTATGGGGCCTCAGGTAGTAGATCAGTATTTATCCCTGGCATAAGAATTGACTTAATGATCCACATGGAGGGATGCTCTCTCAGCCTAGACACATGAGGGACAGCCTAAGTCCTGTCCCGGGATGATATGACAAACTTTGGTGCTCCCCCATGGAGGGTCTCACCTTCCATGGGGAGGGGAAGAGGATGGAGTGCAGGATTGGGTAGGTTCATGGGAGACAGGGGAGGAGGGGTGGAAGAGGGACCTGGGATTGACATGTGAACCAAGTTGTTTCTAATTTAAATTTAAACAAGGAAAAATAAAAAGATTTACTTAAAAAAAACTGCAGAGTGCCAAAAAAAAGGTGCCCATCTGACTCCTAACAGTGGGCTCAGCTGTGTCTCTGACTCTTGCCTGCTCTTGAGACTCTTTTCCTTCTAGTGGGGTTTCCTTATTCAGCCTGGTTATGAGAGGTTTGGCCTGTCTTATTGCATCTTATTTTGTCCTGTTTGATTGTTGTCGCTTGGAGGCCTGCTCTTTTCTGAAGGGAAATGGAGGAAGAGTGGATCTAGGTGGGGGGAGGGTATAGGACTAGAATGGGAGGGGAAACTGCAATTGGGGTGTATTATATAAGAGAAGAATCTATTCTCAATTAAATTAAAGAACTGGAGAGTGAAATTTTCATCTTTGTGGTTCTCCTACTATCTCTATAACTGTTATCTTCATCCTCTCCTTGTTTGTGATCCTTTAAAATGCAAAGCAAACACATAAGCTATACAAACAGAGGGCTTAGGCTATGTTAGGAACACTGATGATAACGTGCTGACATCAGGCAAGACTTTTTATTTATTTCACCAGAAAAAAAAGCATGGAAAGAGTAAATTATTAAGTAAGGAAAAATTAGTTGCATCTGAAGATGAAAATTATGGTCTGGAAGCATGAATCAGTGGTTATGGGTACCCAAGTTCAGCTTTCAGCACCCACATTGGCCAGCTCACAAGGATCTAAAGCTCTCCCTGTCCTCTTCAGACAGCTCCCTGGCATACATTTTTTTCAAATCTTTAAAAGATGGCCAATAATGGTACCTGATCTGTCTTCTAACCTATGATTCCCTCTTCCCCCTACCCTACCCCACCAGTCAACCTTCCTGTTCCTCCATGTCCTACTCTCTCTTCCACTTCTCCCCCTCTCTATTTCCCAGGTCCCCATCCCCCCTACCCCTCGCCGTGTTCCCCATCTGTTCAGAGGATCTTGCCTCATTTCTCTTCTCTTGGGTACCATGCATATAGAATGCCCATTCCTGATAGTGAACTTGATGTCTATAACCATCCTGGAGCCTTCATCCAGTGACTGGTGGAAGCAGAGGCAAACACCCACAGTTAAATACTGAACAGAACACAAGGAACCCAGCAACAGAGAGAGAGGAGCAAAGAGCAAATTGGCAAAGAATGGGCTGGCAAAACCAGCAGAGACAGCTGATCTGAACAGGGGAGAGCGCTTGGACCCCAGAACGACAGCTGGGAGGCCAGCATGGCACTGATCCAGACCCCCTGAATGTGTGAGTCAATGAGGAGACCTCGTCTATCTATGGGGTCCTGAGCAGTGGATCAGTGTTTATCCCTAGAATACTAACAGACATCGTGTGTCCATAACACAAAGAGGGTTGCTCTCTCTGCCTGGACTTTTAGGGAAGTGCCTGGACCCTACCCTGAGTGAAATGATAGACTCTAGATATCCCCTATGCTGAAGGAATTGGCCATAGGGTGGGAGGATGGGGAGGGAGTGGGAACTGGGATTGACATGTAAAACAAGCTATTTAAAATAAAAATAAAAATAAATAAATAAATAAAATAAAACAAAAAAGATGGCCAATAAAAGGATATGTAATAGATGTTCCTA